ACCTGGTACAAACAGGAATCATGGGTACGGAAAAACAAGAACTACGATTGGTGGCGGTGGTGGCTAAGTGGTTAGGTCACCAACTTATGACCCGGAAGTCCCGGGTTCGAGCCACTCCACCGCCACCCGTCTTCCCTATTTCTGTATTTTCCCCAGGGAGCCTTTGTATGGCCGCAGCCCCCTTCCTGAAAGTTGACTGTACATTTGTATACTCAATAAATAAAAAAGGAAGCAAAAAGACATTCTTAATACCGTTCATTTGATGATTTTGTACATATTATTTGACCGCATTGATTTCCTGTAACCACAACACCTGTGGTATTCTTCCTGCCTCTCGGTGAGGGGGAGATTCCAACCTCTGATTTGTATCCGTTTCCAACAAAGCAGTCAGTTACCATTCCCGCCTAAAGCTGAATCAGTCAACCATAGGAGGCAAAAAGTTCCAGGAGAAAATCAGTCAAAACCGAGTAAAATTCATTTTCAGCGGCCAGTTTTCCGAATAGGGATTTTCTACTACACTTGTTGCAAACTGAGTATAATGTTGCAGCGCCAGCGAACCAGGCCTATTCGCTCCGTTGTGAGGACCAACCGTGTGCTTCAATCAACCATTGACAATTTAGTTACACGATCAATCGGACACCCTATTCCTGGTAACGACTCATCTTGCTGGAGAAGGGACAACAACATAGCATCAGGTTATTCTACTGGTCCTTTCGATGACCAGTCTGCAGTGAAGTTCATTTGCATTTGCTACTTTTTTGTGCAACGCAGCAATCTACGCTAATAACCTGTAGCTTCTACCCATTAACTGCGTATACAGCAGTGAAACCGGGACTTCGACGAGAGCCTTTCGATGATACGATTATGGTGAGGCATCAGATATGCTTATTTACTGGTACTTGTGGTGTCAGAATCCCTCGATGTCATCCTTAGCTCCCTGGGTATCAATTTTCCCCCAAAAGCTGTGTTCCACGGCAGGGATCATGTAAAACCACATGACTAATCTAGGACGGTGTACACAATGCACCGCCTATGACCAATGTACGTAGGAAACAGGTAAATAACCGCGTTGTAAGGCTGTTTTCCCTGTGCACTGTTTCAAGTGTACTCGCCTCACGAACACACGCTCGCTCTATGACGCTTATATCTGAGGTCTTAAAATTTCGACCACTGAGAAATGACAGGTGACGGGGCAATAGTGGCGACAAAATACCGGAAGGGAGAACGTATGATCCTGAAGGCTCTCCATTCGAAAAACTGCCAAACGACCCTTATAATCAAATCAAAGTTTGTACAATCAATGAGGAACGAGGGAGTGTTGGACAAACATGCGCAGAATAAACCCCAGCGCGAGGAAGAAATTGACCCAAATACTTCTCACATACTACTGTTCGACGAGTCCTAGTCTAGATGGAAACTACACAATAATTACTGTCACTCAGCGCTCAACTCTGTTTTAGGAAATTTATCTCATTTGTTGACTTCACTGATATAGCCTGGACTGAAAAAGCGGCTTAAAAGCTTGTGAAATCTGAGCAAATGTAAATGTAATCGTCGTATGCAAAGGGCGGTTTTATCTCATTCAAATCAAAGGACTGAGTTTTTCTATCGAATTTCTTTATATGAACAGTTCTGGTTTCATGAAAGGGGGTTCCAGTATATTTCGAGCGGATAGCAATCAAAATCTTATTCCTTTCGAGTAGTGTGGCGCACCTTGCCAGATAATTGTTGATGTTAGTGTGTTCTCCGAGCTGGAAGTGTTGTTCGCAGACTTTTCGTAGCCAAGTTAGGCAATATCATCAGTAAGACTTCGCGACTTCCCGAAATCGCACTGATGTTACCTAGCCTGGCTGCAAAACGTCTAAGAACAACACCTCCACTTCGGAGAACTCACCAACATCCACATTCCACATAATTTCTAGATGATTGTGGAAGTTAGGTGTGTTAAGTTAGTATCCCACCTACAACAACAGAATGACAGTCGGGTTTGACATAACTTCATTGCCATTGTATGGCAGGGAGGGTACCTGGCATTGCTTGATACGTCGCAATAACTGAATTTTCTTCGGGCCTATGAAAGCGGTATTTAGAGTGCATTAGGTAATCATAAATGAGCTCAACATAAGCAGCCTGTCTTTGGTATGGCATCGGCTGTGCTGTGACGAGGGGGGACAGAGTTTCAGGTGGATCCTGCTAGTTCTTTAAGCCAAAACAACACTGAGTACGCCCAATCATTCTACTGTGTTTGTATACGTCACGGTCGCAGTTTGTGATTACTGACGTACGGTCAGAAAATAAAAAATAAGTTTCCGATTCTGGTCCTCAGGTACATAATTGTTGTTTCATTGGCACCACGCTCGTTAATACTGTTTGCACGATCGGAGATGGCCATTCGAAACAGTTAGTGCCCTCACGTAATTAATAAGCATAGCATTATGCTGAGGTTTCTGGATGCATCAACCAGCATAACGTTATAGCTCTCCACCAGGAATGTTCAGTTCTATAACGAATGATGAAATTGTTATCCCAAGAAGAAGAGCAAACCAGCGTTTGCAGTACATGGATGATGAAATTGTTCTGCCTTGATAACAGAACAAATCCACTAACGATTCACTTTCCTCAGGATTCCGTCGACTCAGCGTCTTATTATGGAATTAAGGGAAAGTGACTATGGGTATCTTCAACAGTTTACCTTTTATGCGTAATACAGTTAAACCGACGCATCAAAAGAAACCTTTTAATTTCTGAGCCTAGATGAGTGAAAACTTTTAGTGGAATTTAGCTTGTCAATGTGAAAGGTTGCATATAAGCGGGTTTTCATCACGCGTAGGTTCCATTATCCCCAATAAACTTAATTTTCCTATTCATCCGACCAGGAAGGTCGCAAAAGCATAATTTGTTCTCCTCAGAACCGATCCGATGGGAAGAAAACACTGCACTTCTCATAGATAAAACGACCGATCGTCGTTTCAAAGGATTGAGAAACTGACATTCTTCGTATACTCCCTAAAAACTCATTTGACGCGCTCAACCAGACCAGATACTCTCTGTGACCGCCTGTTAAACTGCTTTTGCAACTGTATTATACTTCACATACTTCTGAGGCCAGATTGCGTGTCAAACAAATCACGGAACAATGATCCTTATCAAACAGAAAAAAGCTCCATGATTTATTAACGGGTAGAATGCCAGGTTGCCCAGGCCAAGGTAAGTGAATTTTCTCAAAGAATTCACAATCGTAGCCTTCGGTTAACCCAGCTCTACTCGAAAGGTAACGGGACTGTACGTGAAAACCTTAATCCATCGGGGGTCAGTGTTCAGTTCGTTGGCGAAAAATACAAGAGACAAAACTGTCAAAAAACAATATTTGTCTGTAGACTAAAGAGCGTTTCAGTACCCAGCTCGCTAAGAACAGTTCAACAACCGGAGAACTATTAAAGCTCAAATGAAAATCTAGTTGCCGTTCTTCGAAAAGAGAAATTCCGAAAAAATAAATCAAATCAAGGTACTATCTGGTGCGTTCCATTCGATCAATCAGATTTCACATTGGTCAGAGACGCTACCTTTAGGATCAAACTGCGCAACCACAAAAATTTAACTTTCGCACCTAGTACGCATTTCTACAGGCAATTCACAAAGTAGTAGCTCGTTGTATGGGTCGATCTTGCTCAATGTGCAACGCATGAGAAAAAATACTTTGGTTCGTGAATTCTCATTTATTTACAAACCAAAAAGGATTCTTTAAATCACGAGAAGACAGGCTGTTATCAGACAATTTCAAATTTTCACCCGTTAACGCCGATCGGTCTTTCCAACCGACCGTTTGCCAGAGAATAAATGTTTCGGTTTCAGATCCGGGATATGCCGATCACCCTCTCCTTTGCGGGATAGAGTAACGACTTTTCGTTGAGCCAACTTGTCCATGTGTTTTATCTTATCCAACATCTTGACATCGCGCACAGCTGAAATCGATCGCGGGACAGAAGCACGAGCAATGGATGCTTCACGATGTTCGTTCACACCGGAGTTTCTTTCGCGTCGAGCACGCTTCATTGAACGACCACGCTCGGACTGTTGAGCAGAATGAAATAACAAGGGTGAATGTACAAATAAATAGAGAATCATTATTTTGACTGAGCAGAAGCATAAGAGACCCATTTAAAATGGCGCTCTAGAACTTGTCAGCGAGGTGCCGAGCTTAAGCGTTGGTCCAGCCAACCGACATTAGGGACAGTTAATTTTATCTAATGAATACAGAAACGAGGTTGAAAGTGGAATAGGTAGACAAGTTATGGGGTTTAGTTTGGTCACGGAGATGAGCAATGCAGGGGATAGGACAGGCACAAAATTACATGAAGATGAGGTTTGAGGTGAACCAATCAGGTAAGAAAACGCGACATACTCCTAAAAGCCATGTTAACTGCCTGCTTCAGTTTCAGTGAGCACAACAAAGGGGCCATGCATTTCGTGAGCCGATTTCGGTTGCCGTTTTTGGGTTGCCCATTTAGATGGTGGTAGGAGAAAGACCGGAAAACGGAATCCAAGAGAACATGGAGAATACCAATAGAAAATAGTTGAAAAGATAATGCGGAAATGCAGGAGCCCCACTGTTTGCGACACTCATTGTCTCTAGCCATGGACTGCGATATTCCGGAGTCCCCAAGCAGGAAACCTAACGTTACCTCTTGGAGCAAGTCCCCACAAAAAAGCAACCAAAACCAGCTCTCGAAATTGCATGGCAATGGTTGTACAAACTGAACTGAAGTCTCTTAATCGGGGTTTTCACGCCCTCATGCCAGGTCTGAGTTTGACCACACTGTACTTTTTCCATCCTCGGTAAACATCATGTATGTAATCTGTTTGGTGACATGTGTAACACGCCCGAACCAATGTAGTTCATGGAAGTTGACCACTTGCTTTAGTGGGCGACTGCGATTAACTGAAACTCTGCGGACTGTCCGTCTGGCTACCTTACCAGATTCGTGCAATGCTATGTAGACCTCGGTGTTCGAACAGTGACAGTTCGTTTTTATCTTGTTATCGCAATCGCCAAGCTTCTGTACTGTATAGCAGCATTGGCCAAACTGTTATGTGGAGCAGCCACTTGGCTTTATCTATTTCAATAACATGCAAAAGTCCCTTTTCACAACGTATTAGCAAATTTTGTTACTTAGGTCGACCCCACCTCGTACCCTCACTTCAACTTCTATGTTAGTTGGTTTGAAATGATTGCATGAAAGTACGTCTACAGTTGCATGAGAGCTCGCTCAATCGATGGTTAACAGCAAATTTCGCCACATGTCTTTTTGTGATATTGATTGTTTTTTAAGCTCATGCTCCATTCCGTCATTCGGCAAGGTTTATGTAAATAACGTACATGTATTCCAAACAGCTGAAGAAACTCGGCGCAATAATTTTCTGAGTCTACTCAGTTAACAAATTGTTCATAACTATTCGTCAAGTACAAGCGAACGCCAAACACTGAACTGTGTACAACTAGCGTAACGGAAGAGTTTGACTGGGAGATTTCATAGACCGGAGTGAAAGCAATTGCAATTCAAATCATTGAATCACTTCGACATCTCCGTATCCTAGGTTTTATTCTCATAAGGGAACATGGGGAAAACGAACCTCATCCTGTAGGTCCACCTCCAGACCAAGTTCGCCCAGTTCGTTGCGAATTTTATGCACACTGACTGACCGAGAAGATCGAGGAATTTTGGGTGTGCGGACACTCTTTCTGGCGCGCGATTCAAGAACCCGAAGAGCACGGGCTTCTCTGATTCTAAAAATGGAAAACGATGACAGGTTTGTTTAGAATATTGGTGAAAATGACAGAAAAAAAAGAGCAGAAAATAATTAATTAATGTTCGAAGTTTTTCTGAAACGAAAAACCATTAGGTGAAGGATAAACCTTTCTATTTTATTGAAATGTACAAGCAGATGCTAGCAGTTGGGGGTTAATATTCAACATATTCTAAATTATCAAACCTCTGAACAATACTTCCATCGCTATTTAGAATATATGACAAGGCAAACCGGTGGAGAGAAATAGTGGATTGGGTGTGTGATTCAATGAATTAGTTGGTACAAATGTGCTACATCATCAGTCGCAAACTCCCGGCAAGTTGGTAGGGTTCAACAGCTTATGGTAATTTGTGCAACATTTTGAGTATGTCTCAGCAGGGTCGGGCTCCTTGCTGTTGTGGTTGGTCACTCTTTTCTTGCACCTCGCGAAATGCCCCCACAAAACCAAGCTTCCCAAATATCCTCTGCTGAAGAAGCCTTCTTACTGATTTCAGGTGGGTGTGATAGAACGCAAAAAAGGAATAAACATATTTTTGGCACACAGACTGAATCTTGTTGGAAAATTTTGAAGTCAAACGAACGGGCAAATGATGGAACCAAAAAACACCTAGATTGAGAGTTCTAATTCGAGACAATGAAGACGTTGAATTCGGGCGATGGGGTGGTAAACATGGCTTACTTGGCTGCAGTTTTTCGGATTTCCTGCATTTCCGGATTATTCGCGTCTGGATCTTTGGTCCAATCAGATTCTTCATATACGCCGGCAGCTTCCATCTCGGTTTCCTGCTTTTCCAGCTCATTTAGCCGTTCTTCGATATCTGGATCGAAGAAATCAATCAGGTTGTGACCATCCATAATTTCGGGGATCACATCATTTGCATGCTCTGGATGTTTCAACTGCCAATGTTCACGAAGATTTAAAATGAAACCATCATCGCCAGCCTCCAGCTCGCGATCTCGTAGAGTACGTTTCTTGTTTTCAGTGGAGTTTGCGACAATTGTACCGAAAGCACTAGCGTGACTACGTTTGAGAGCTTTGATCTGACGCTTGGCCAACACCTCCGGAGGAACGATAGGTGGTCGCATAGGTGCCTGCATTTATGGTAGATCATGAATGAAAGTTGAATCAAAAGAACCCAATTTGTCAAAAATTAACAACTGAACTGTGCAGTTTGGGGCTGTACAACCGCAAGCTCAAAAATCCGTATTCTAGTTCAGATTTCACCAACAACAGGTATTATCTATGACAATATCGCTGAATTTTTCTTCTTTCGTGGAAGTATGAAAGGTACCACCAATAATGCTTATTTATTACATTGTCTTGCAGCATTTGCAAGTTTGACGTGTTCTAAACTGAGCCAACTCGAACCTATAGCAGCACTTTACGCTTTGAAGGTTAGAAACATATGCGAAGTATGACTGCATTTCCGTTAAAATTATCTGGAAAAACTTGTAACTTACCTACATCTTCACTTAACATAACCTTGATCAGACAACCTACTTTTCTGGCATATCCGTCAAGCAGAAGCAGAAGTCGGGTCACAACTGCTTAGGGTTGCAGACTACAGATCGTTCTTAGTAGGCAACTAGTTCCGATTCATGTTGAGGAATGGTTAGTTCAAGCTTTCCAGCTAGCTCCTTCCGAAAGGCAGTTAGACATACTGATTGAGATATCTTATCGCAATCTAACAGTAACTGTGTTGTGCATTCACAACGCCCAAAGCAGCACACAAACGATGCAGACCAATGAAGGGTCTGGATCCAAGAGGTGTGATCCGGTGTGGTCGATGGTCTCCGCCATTTGTGACTTATGACGATTTGGTTGGCCTGGGTCACCAAGTGTTTTTATTACACACATTTGTGTGGTGAACAGCAGACGGGACGAACCCCATAGTCACGAAGATCTGCTACTCCGTCAAGGAAACCGATAACCTAAGCCCCGGGACTTGGAGTGGCGAACCACGTAAGGCCCCGATGGGTGGCGCACCGCTAAAAACATGACATATCAACCTAACCAGCTTTATGCTAGAGGATATGCAGCTATTGGCAGGTGGGTATTAGTAACATCATCGTACAGCAAATTAGTGTAGCTGCGGGAGCATCACAAAACGAAGGACACAAACAAGAAATTAGGACAGAATAAGATGGACGAAAACTGACGCGAACTCGGATACACCAAACGGTAATAGAAAAAGTTTCTCTTTCGTGTTGACAATTACCTCTTCTTTAGGAGTGGCCACGTACAACCGACTGGCGATACCACCATCCGTCGTAGTTTCGCCAACAACAGCAGCAGCACGGAGCTTTGCTTGTACTCTCATGGCTAATAACTGATCGCAAGCTACTTTGCGCACTTCGATCACGCCGGTTTCATCCAGAGTGGACATGGGTATGAACAGAGGACGGTCATGATCTTCGGACACATCCACTCTGAATGTTTGGTTCCCAATGGCATCAGATTCAGAGGTTTGTTCTGGCCATCGAACTATGCTTTGAATGAGCACCCGGTCCGACTCGGGAACATCTTCGAAAGTCCGAATGTCGGTCTGAAAACGTCATGTTTAGGAATTCAAGAAAATAGTTGAAAAACGACGTAGGAATTAATGAATTTGTTATTGTTATACAAAAGTCTAGCAAAGATGAATACGGACATAAAACCTGTCGCACTGAATGCACTTGAGTCAAACAGGACGTCAATATTGCTCCGTTGCAAACGTCATTTCGTCACTCGACAAAGGACGGATCGACGGAGCTAAACATACATGCACCAAAAGTTGACATTTGGCCTCTATTACGATATTGTGTGATGAACCGCGGGTGGCGTAAATCCCATTGCCGCGATGACCAGTCGCGCATTCACGGAATACACTACACGAAGTACTACGCAGATGAGGAGCTAGGGATTATGTCAGTAAATCGCTGACCACAAACGTCCGCGAGGTGGAAAATGACCAAAAAGCAGCTCCAATTTCTACGATGTTCATCTGTTGGGCTAGTGCTTAAATTTATTTATTATGCACCGCAGATAGGGTGGAACCAAAGCAGTGAAGATCTGCTATTCAGTGATGGAAATCGACAACAAAAACCCCGGGACTTGAAGTGGTGAAACATATAAGGACTCGCTGGTTCAGGCGTGGGATTGAACCGGATGATAGCAATTACATATATATATATGTCTGAGGGGAGACTGTGCCAAACAAATCACGGTACAATAATCTTTATAAAAAAGAAAATAATACATGATTGGCTTGTGGGTTGAGTACTGTCAGGTTGCCCAGGCCAAGGCATGATAGCAAACTTACCTACCACTAAAGTGGGGTGGCGGTACACCTCGACCCTCGAAACACAACATCCGAAGCACGCCGGTAATAGCAACTAAACAGGTGCGCCACCACCACACCTGCGATAATGACTGTAACAGTGCGACACCTCCAATTTTAGGTAAACCACGGATGGATTCCCCGCTAAGAACGGTGTCCATGCTATTGAGGCGGCTGAGGCTTGTTACCCCAAATGCTTATATTTCAACTTTCCACAAAGGAACGGCGTTCTATGGTGAGGATGAGGTTGGGCGCATATTACGTTATGATAATCTGAAGTACTGGGATAAAAGAGTGATGAACAGTATGATGTACTGACTTAAGCGGAATAGCTTGCTAAGGAGGAAACGAAACAATCAGCTAAACTTTGAATCCAGAATGCTACGGATTAGTAGGCCATAACAGATTAGACCAGAAGCTTATTGGGTCAAGCGAATATTAGTAGGCCGAAGGTTTGTCAATAATGAGGGATCACGAAATCCTACTAGTTAACAGAAGCGAGTAAGCATATGGGATCTCGAAAAGCGAACTAACGAACAGCCATCGTTTCGACTGCCTGTGAAGAAACTATTCGGTACTGGACTACCGAAGGAAGAGTATCGCTCACTTCATTAACCAAATATTGAAGGAACTCAAGAAACTTACTTTATTAGCCGCAATAATTAGCGGTTTATTGCGAAACAGTGGTCGCAGGCTTTGGAACAGTGCAATTTGTTGACTGATTGTATAGCCACATTGTTCTGACAAATCCATAATGTAAATCACAGATGCTTGCAAATGCGCCAAAGCCGTGATTGATAACATTTCCACCGTGTTGTGCTCATCCAGAGGACGATCGAGAACACCGGGCGTATCGATTACTTGCCATCGAAGGTTTTTGTAATCCGTGTGACCAACAAATAGTGACTTCGTCGTGAACGGAAAAGGTTGTACATCCACGTCAGCCCGAGTAATCTATCCAAAAAATGAAACAGTGCAGAATCATTGGATGCCCATTGATGTGGAAACTTTATACGCATGTTTCAGGTTTGATGGAAGGCCACCAACATCTCAGATGTTCCATTGCATAGTGATTGGCAGCGATTGAAGCAAACCGGAGGGTGCATGATTGCGGTGAGACATTGCGAAATTCCGCTCCTTCGCAAAGTAACAGCTCGATGATAATTTTCTTTAGTTTTCTTTGGTTAAGAGGTTTCGATCTAGTAGCAAAAAATTGTAAATTTAACAAAACTGATACGGATGCCGAAAGACGCAAACTTCACCAAGTAGAAGACTCATCATGCAGATTCAGAGGGAGACAAATTGCCGAACAGTTCAGTTTCATTTAGGGGCTTCCATAGTCGCACTTCTTATAATTACTTATCAAACGTTCTATTCATAAAAACCAAGCAACTATGAGACAGGTTATAAAACCATCACCCTTGCACCCAAATGCTTTGGATGGTGCGTTTTGTCTGAGCATCTGAATGAGCAGAGGGAAGTAGAAAGCTAGAAGAAACAGCAGGATGATGGAAAAATCCAAGTAAGGTGAACTTCACAACAAACTGAAACGTACTAGCATTTTGTTCTCAGTACTCAGCAAGTATCTCTTGTCTCCAACTGCATGCAGTAAACAAACGTGTTGTAATTCCACGTCTGTCGTTCTGCTTCTGTCGTATTCTTTTAATTTGGCGCCGTATACGTAAAGATGAACATGTATCCCCTGAGGGCCCCACGGAGGAACCTAAAGCCATCTAAATCTGTCGTCGGCACGGCTTTCATATCATATCATGCCTCAGTACGTATTGATCACGTCTTAGACCCATTCATTGAGCACACTATAGAGCTGCATACTAACCTTCCAGGCAAATGGTGTCATACAAGCCAGAGCTCTATCTAGAAAATGCCAGGTGAGTCCCTAACTCGACTAGAGATCCGATAGCATACATAAATTGTACGTGGGCCACCCCGAATGTATACATGCGTACACCCGATGATCGTATTTGTTTGATTATATGGTGCGGTTGCTACAGGACAGCGAGGACGGGGAAATATGGACGGTGGATGGATACATCGGTGGTCGCCGATGGACAAAAAAATTAGAATAGAACCTTTGACATTCAAATATAACTCTGGGCGACAAAACGTTAGGAATATTGAAAACATACCTTATTGATGAAGCTAGATTTCCCCACATTGGGAAAGCCGCATAAAATTAAAGTGCGCGTATCAGGGTCAATGCTGGGCAACCTGGACATATGTTGACGCGTGTCCTCCAAAAATTTCAGATTATCAGCTTGTCGCTTGATGACAGTACACATCCTAGGATGATCCATGAATACGTTATGAATCTCACACACCTGCCAAATGCGGTTCGCTTAAGAGTTTTGCACTGGTAAAGCGATTCACCGTATTTGAGGATTTTAACTTGATCTCGTGCAATGCTAAGAAACAATATAATGCCATATTATTTTACCCATCAATGATATTCTTCGCTGTATTCAATTGGCCTAAGGCTAATTTGTAATGGTCTTTGGAATACAGAACATTGATTAGGTCGGCGTAAAAGGGGTGCACAGTCTGAAAAATATTAGGTACTGTCAAACAGTTACCTCGACATTCGGGAACTCTGTTACAATGGCCTGCAGTCTATCATGGAAAAACTGCTGGCAAGTCTTGACCTTTCGTATATAGAACTGCCGTATCCGACCGATGGCATACTGCTTGTGTATGACCGTGGGGGTCTTGCGCTGAGTCTTAGAAAGAACGATATCAATAAAATCCTATAAGTAAATTCGAATCAATCGCATAATGAGCACAACCTTCGCCGAAGGCACAACTGTAATACTCTTGAAATTGTAACACGGCATGCCAGCGCAAATTTTTTGAACCACCCGCCAACTAAGGTCAGGGCCTTGCTAGTTCAGTTCAGTTCAGTTCAGTTTGCACAGGACGATGTGTGGCCCAGGCCAATCTTGCGTCCAGATTGATGTGTTGTTGGCTGTTCTTGTGGCTTCCAACACTGCGAGTCAATAGGTTTTTTCTGAAAGGCAGAAAGTAAGGTGCAGTATCACGTCCTGGGCAATGGCGCTCAGGAATAATAGTTACTTACCATCNGACGTTCGAGCAACTTACCACCTTTTCTGGCAGACTATTCCAGTAAGGTATTACGCGACTTGTGAAGAACTTGGCCCGAATGTCCAGTCTTACATTCGGGTTCAGGTCAGTTCAGTTCAGTTCAGTTCAGTTCAGTTCAGTTCAGTTCTCCCAGGACGAATTG